TGGTGCGGCCCTTCAGTTCATTCTCTGCTTGAAATAAGCTGATCTAGCCTATCTTTCTTTAAGACTACACTCACTTTAAGCAACTTACTCACTTGTTGCCCTCCACAGCAGGCAAGTAGGCCTTCTGTGCCCCCAGTGCCATGTGCCACTGTTGATCATATTAGGGATATCCCCTCTATGATGTCACACAGTGCCAAGCATCTCCCAAACAGAAAATTAGGAGGCTGTTGGCTCACACATATTCAGATGTCAACATGTGAAACTGGTCCACTGCGAAAACAGTATATAGCTGGAATGGGAAATAGGGAAAGATTAACCTAGTACATTTTTACTTAGTAAATATAACAGTAGCTACTGCAGCACAGCAAACTAGACGCTAAACGTTGACATTTAATTAACAAATTGTTAATTTTATAGTGTTCACTGGATTTTTCTGAGCCTGTTGGCTGACGGAGGTTGCTTACTCCCCCAGCTGAAAATTAGATGGATCAGAGTGGAATTAGGAGGCCCCTAAAGCTGAATGGCCACCAAAGCATACAACACCCTTCAGAGTCACAGGATGCATTGCTACAATGAGTAATTAAAACAGCTTTGAATGCTGTTATCTGTGTTTTCCTCTTCAGAAAGGAATGTGGAGCATGAAGAAGTGTGGTTGAGGCTTTTGCCACAGGGCTCGCGGCACAGCATCTAGGACGCAACACATGAAGGCCAATTTATTTTTCTCACTGCTCTTCAGACCATTCGCTAACTCAACTTCTTGCATATAATTTGCAGTTGTAAGCACAGTGGTTTTAAGTCTCTGAATTACCAGAGAATATAAAACGCATCGGAAAACCTCTGTACGTTTTCTCAGAGGGCAAAAAATATCAGTGGACCCATGTTTTTGAAGTTTACCTTGTCGTGCAGTAGGATGCAGTAATGCTTGTTGTCAAACTGTCTCCCTGGGTGTTTGAGTGAATGTGAACCCTCTGGCTTGGCAGACTCAGATCTGACTGGCAAATGTATTTTGTTGCCATAGAAACAGCACTAATAATGAGATCTGCTATTCATGCCCACAACATGACACCCCCACGATCGGCAAACACAAAGACAAGCGTCTCTTCAAATGCCCGAGGAGTTCAGCCCCTCTTTCAAATTCTAAACAGACCTAAGTGAATTAATATGCCTAGCCTGAACGTACTCTTTTTTTTTTTTACCTCGTGAATGTTCTGTAAAAGACCTGAGTGTGTGCCAGTGCCTTCAAAATGCAAAATGAGCATGCAAAAATGAAGTTTGATATAAATAAGTTCACGTGTCTAATGGAAGAAAAAGCTGAAAAGTAGAAACATGAGTGCAAGAGGGACTGATTCAAAGAGCAGCAGACCACAGTGATATAAGGAGATGTACTAAATTGATTGAAATATGCACCAAAGTTAGTGAAGCATGCACCAAATTCCTTTTCACATCCCCCAAATTAAGATTTCCCCTCAAATGCAGCCAGTGAAATTAATCAGTTCCATTTGAACAGTTTCATAAATGGATCGGGAGCCAGGGGAAAATAAACACTCTCCGCCCCACAGAGGATCTGTAAACCCAGTCCTTAGGGACGCGGCCCTCTTTTACAAAATCATTTACATCTTTGTATCAAAAAGTAGGCCACTTCAGGAGCCAAACTTACACTTACGTAACAGAGTGGGCAAGCTGATAAACAAGCTGTAAGAGAAAGGTGACAGCCTACAGGACTCATCAACGACCAACTGTCCAGATAATGAAGCCCCTTTGTGCTATTAGTGCAATATGCAGTAGTATTAAAGCATGCTTCATCCTTTCACGCAGCCAGTTGGTTGGTTCAACTCTCGTTCTGCTTTTCCTCAAGTAGCTGCTGTTTGTTTACAGTGTGTGGAGTGAGAGTACTCAACCCCTACGAGCAGTGCTTGGCAACAGCGGGGAGGAAGAAGTCTCATTTAGCCAGAAGGGACCTCTGGCACAGCCAGGGTTAGGGAGCACCAGGCAACCGTTTCGAATAGTTGTAGGGTGACACAAAATACAAGGGGGAGGAAAAAAAGCACTGTATTAACACCAATGCTGCTACAATGAGATATTACTCAAGCTGACAAATCACCTGTAAACAGAGTGAATTAATAACACACAGACTGCTGAAGCAAGGCAGTGATTAAATCTCTCATGAAAATATGAGGAAATTTGTTTGGTGATAAGACATTAAGGCTGAACTCGGAGAATTCAAGCCTGACTCATGTTATCATTTACATCTAGACCACTTAGATAAGAGGAAATGCACACCTGTCCAGGAAAACATTCAGGTCATCTAATTTTAAAAAAAAGAACTTGACACTTGAAAGTGAGCTTTATTAAAATGGTGATTAACTCCAGTCTAGTAACAACGCAACGAGAAGGGAAACCAGATGATCCGACGAGGATGTTTCTGGGATTTTGATTAAAAGAGGCCTTCAGTATAAAAAAAAATTCCAGTAGTAATGTTAAAACCGAGATAAGAAAACACAGCTGAAACTGGGCTACAACAGAGCACTTCATGGTCCAGCTGTACCAAATGTCATATTTAACCAACATTGCTTTAAGTTTTTGTTAAATCCCTGTTGTCACAATTCCTTTCCCCTTATGTCTTATCCTTTCCTCCTCCACTGAGATGGGACTAAGATGTGAGGACAGGAGTTGAGGATGTACAAGATTAGAAAAAGGGGGTAAGAACAACTAAGAACTACTGGAAACCACAGAGACCAGAACACAGAAAAGTGGTGTAGAGTTCTTAAGCTAAAAGGGCATCTGACCTACAGCAGATATTTGTTCAATCAGTGTGCATTCAACGATCATCACCAATCAGACAGTCATGGAGCTCCTGTTTTAAAGAAATATGATCAGAAATGATCTTATGTTTGGATCATTTCCAGTCATATTTCAATACAGCAGAACTAATTGCATGCTACTAGCAGCCCAGATTAGGGATGCACCGATACCACTTTTTTGGAAACGAGTACGAATACGAGTACTTGCATTTCAGTACTCGCCGATACTGATACCAAGTACTTAATAAAAACATCATTTAAATTTGCAGGTAACAGCTTTAGTCCTATAATTTAACAAAAAACAAACAAACAAGGGACTAGTTTGGAATTAAGAACATTTATTTAAAATGAAAAGCATGTTGTATGCAACATATTACAGAATAAATAATTATAAAAAACAAAATTTAATTTTC